CAGGGCTGTGAAACTGTTCCCACCCCCTGCCAGCTCCTCACCCCCGGCCCCTTTCCCCACTGCTCTGGTCCAGCTCCCCTGCCTTTGGGGTGTTCTTCCTTGTGTTTGCCTCTCATTCTGGCTGGGCCATATCCACCGCCATTGCCTCCTGACACAGGGTCACGCTCCAGGGGCACATGTCTGGGGCTCATAAATCCTGCGCGGAGACAATAGCAGCCCAGCCACTGAGCTCATCCAGCTTCATTTTAGTGCTTGTCTTCTTGAGCCAAGCCCCCTTCTGGCTTTCTTGTTGCTGGGAGCCTTGTGCTTACGATATTTTGTGGCTCTTGAATTTCCACTGAGAGTCCAGGGGGGGCTTGCAATGCACGAGAGAGACTGGGGAGGAGTCTGCCCCCCCCCCCCAGTACAGGGAAGAGAGAGTCTTTAACCCCTCTATGGGAACAAATACTCCTCTCCCACTCCCAGATATCCCAGCCTAGCACTGCAGCCCTGGACCACCATGTGTATTCCTGGGAGTGGAGTCTTTGTGGAGCCCTAACTCTAGCCCCTAGTTCTCTGCTGTCCCTGTTGGAAAGTTTTACCCACCTCTGTGACTTTCTGACACGTCAGCCCAGGAGCTGCCATTCTTGTGTTGTCTCAGGCAGGGTCCGGAAGCACCAAGGGAAGCCTCTGAGATGTGCCATTGACCCTCAGCTCGCCAGGGAAAACAGCATAGCCACCTGCATTTCCTCACCTCCCTGCCCTGCCTGAGTCGGCAGCAGGTAAGACCTGCTTCCTGGGGGCGTGTTGCAGGCTCCACCTGGCAGCTGCAGATCCCAACATGTCTTTGGCCTGGGAGCTCAGTCTTGAAAAAGATAAAACCAAGACTGGGAGGAGGGAAGAGAGACCGGCAGAGACGGAGACATGCAAGTTGGGGGGAGGAGGGGAAAGGGGCTGCAGGAGGGAATATGGGGCATCACCCAGCTCAGTCTGCATGGTGGGCAATTCCAGTAACACCTGGGACAAAAAGAGGAATTTGTATGTGCGAGATGAGATAAGCACAAGGGGCAGCATTTCACCTCATAGGTGCTTCGTGCCCCGCCAGAGCCAGGTGTAGCTAACTACACACAGCTTTAAACCTTCCTTAGCCTATAGAGGGGGGTGTTTCCTAGGCTGCTTAGAGGAACCCTTCCTCTCCCATGTTCTTGCTCCCAGCACGCAAGGGTTACATTTGCCTCATCCCCCAGTGGTCCCACAGGGAGGGTGCTTTGGGGTTTGGTTTGTTTTTTGAGAGGGGGCATATTTACCAACCGAGCCAATGTCAGTTTGCATAGATAGCCCTCCCAGGGAGAGGTGTTACCTCCGCCCCATTCCCAGGGCTGTCCCTACACTCAGTCCTGCAATGGGGGGGTGGGAGAG